GGGGGGAAGGGGATAAAAAGGGGAGGGGGGGAAGGACAGTGCAGACCACATGCACCACCACCATTTCAAGGAGAAGGAAATAAGAATCCCACTTTAGTCCGCAACCCTTAACGCAGTGGACAAAAAGCATCCAGTAAGACACAGCAATGTTTTTGCGCATGACCGGACTAATTTCGACTGATTCAAAGCAACATGAACACGCAGTAGATCTCAGCAGCCTTTTGGACCCCAGGAATACCTGCATGCAACTTTCCTTTAGTTTTTGGTACCTGTATGTATCTTCCTCTGCTTGAGAAACTGTAAATCAAGAGCTCAAGGGAATCAGACCTCGTTCCATTAAAGAAAAGGGCATTCACTTTTTCTTCGGCTCACTTCTGTGACCCATCTGATAGACTCACCTGAGGTAATTGCAGCGGCTGCGGTCTTGAACTGCTGCTGCAACGTCTTATTCTCTGAGGGATCACCATAATTTTCCGTCCAGGTGTACAAGATGACGCACAACCCGATTGTGAGGAAAAACACAGCTGCATCAAAAGGAGAAACTGGCCCAAAGTCCAGATTCACCACAAGGGTATTGGCAATAAGGCCAGCTATGATAGCAACCAAGCCGTTACCCAGAAAGATGGCCTTGGAGAAAGTGATGGACAGCCACTGTGCCTCGAAACCCCTCTGCAGAAGGAAAAAAACACAAAAAGGCGGTCAACACGAGAGACTGCACCGCTTTGCCTAAATCCCATCTGCCAAATTGAGTGGAACACAACCTCCTCAAAGATCAGTTGAGAGCTGAAGTCCTGTTCGATAAAACCATGAAATGATGCCAAGCCTACTGTTTTGCCCACCCACACATGCAGCATTGTGCTCTTTTTATACGTACACAAACACAGCAGGAGCCTCTTCCGCGTCATTTGATGGACGTATGCTGCGGACAAAGCCCGATGGATGTCCTCTAAAATCACTCGTCTTCTTAGCCAGAGTTTTGCAAGTCGCCAACCCCTTCGAGCAAATGCAGACGAACAAGCCAACCTGTTTGCCTGAGAGAAGTCAGGGTACGATATAAAACACCAACACCTTATCTAGTTTCTCTACATCACTTCCCCCTCAGCAACCAAGCACACCACATCACTTCCCCCTCAGCAACCAAGCACACCACATCACTTCCCCCTCAGCATGCAAGCACATGAGCTGCCCAGCATCGTCCAAGGGTGTGTCCAACTAACCTTGAAATGTTCTGCAACAAGCCAGGACTCAAACGCAGAGAAGAGAAGTGATGTTGCAATGCCCCCAAGCACTCGCCCCACCATCAGCCAACCATACTGAGAGGAATGCTTGGTGAAGCAGCTCAAAATATATGTAATGCAGTATATAATGGAGGCCAGTTTTCGTCCACTGCGAGACAGAAGACATGATCACCAGTCAAACAACATCCAAAGATCCACACAGATTAGAAGACAGAAAATGACGCTGCACAACGTCAGTAGACCATCAGCAGATACGGCATGACGCATGGAGGAGTGGCAGCCCTATATATAGAGATGGTACTAGAACCTTTCTCGGCCTTTTGGCTAAGATCAAGCGCAGTATCTGTTCTGCTCCGTTTAATATCTGATCCATGTCAAGTTCAAAAAACGAACTACAGATTCTGACAAGAACGGAGTAGCAGTCCTGCATTGTAGAGTTGAATCTCTCTCTCTCTCTCTCTCTCTCGACCGACCGACTACTGACCAGACGTTTCTAGCAGACTGGTTCGAGCAAACAAGCAGCAAAGCACATGGTCGGCAACTGGGAAAACTAATAGCTTGGCACAGCACCCACCCCCAGATTCTAGTTCAACCCTCTGATGGACAAAGCTTGAGGGGGATCCGACACAGGAATGTGGATACCTTTCAGCCCATTAACAGGCCATTCGAGGACACTACATTCCCTGTCTGATCCGCCGGCATTTCCTAAGAGCCCTGAAACTCACGCGGTCAGTTTCATCTGTAGGTCTGCAAGTCCACGCACAATCCGAAACACAGGGACATTTGGCCTTGCACCATTTCCGTTCTTTTTTTTTTTCATTTACACTCCGCTTTCCTCTTGGCCCAATGGACCAATAGCTCAACTTGGTGTCAAGCCCCCTCCACCCTGACCTTCACCAGCCAGCACCAGCGGCCAAACCATCAACCGCTTAGCACTCGCATCATATCAATCAGCGAATATAAAAAAGTTGGAAAAGCACATCAAGACTGATCAAGGAACCCCGGCATTACCGTGTAGGCAAATGTCACAATTCTTCTTTTCCCCACCCATGACTGTACTTATGCCCATTTCAAAGACCAGTTCTGCAGATTTCAGAAATACAAACCGTAAACATCAAAAAGGAAATGCTACGTCATAACTTGTTCTCCACACTGTATCGTTTTCCACCTTAAACAGACTGTGCGTGTAATTCTCGCTTAACTGGCGAGTTCATACAGAATGCTGCACCTTCGTTGATCGACATCACAAAACAGAAATATAACTGAACTACCAACAACGTGTACCAAAAGTCAACAAGAAATCAAGGCAACTTCTCTCCAAATCAGCAATGATAGAGCAACAAGTATCGAGCAGGGCAGGTCATGACGGTGTGAGCCACTCACTGCTTATCGGCGAGGGACCCCACAATAGTCCCAAAGATCATGGACGAACCAAATCCTGCAATGAACAACCTCCCAATCTCTTTGACGGAGAATTTGTAGTACTCGTACAGCCGATATACATACGGGCCTTGGAGCCAGTCACCCGCTGGAGAGATAACAACACGACAAGCACCAATGATAACACATCAGCAAGCCCATCTCACATTCGCCGCATACACAGCAACACTACAGCGTTCAAGGAAAGAAAACGAAGTCTATTGACATACTCTCTTGAAATCAATAGAGTTCACACAGTATGAAGAAGCGTGCACTTACTTTGGGGGCAGGCCACACCGTTGCCGGACCTGGCATAAGATGTCAGCCATTGAATGGAATAGTCACAAGATACTGTTCAAGAATACCTTTCTTGGCCTTTTGGCTACTATCAAGAGAATCGGTTCTGGTCAGTTTAATATATGATCCGTGGTCCATCGGGGATAGAAGGGGCACAGCATAGACCTGCCTCAACCTTGACTTGCTTGAGGGCAACATATGATGAGGGGTCCAAGCTAGAGGGCTCCAACACGGAATACCTTCACAAACATTCAACGCCTGGAGGTCCTTTCCGGCATTCAAACATCCTCCACATCTCTGACAAGCAGCGGCAGCTGGGTGCTCACCTGACGGGCCAAGCGAAGGCATACTTGAGGCACTGAGCACTCGTACACCACTCCTACAAAATGACCCCATTGGCAACTTGCAATGCGCACAAACTTTCGCTTCACCGCTCAGGTCCGCATCCATTCAGGCATGCAAACCTCCTCCATGTCTCAACTGGGCGCCCACCTCCCATAATGTCTCAATGCGTGCATCACTAATACAAAATCAGCCCATTGTCCACTTGCGATGCTCGTGAAAATTATCACTTCCCATGTGCCATTTCAAGCGTTCAAGCCCGCTCCACGTCTCAGCTGGGTGCACTCACCTGCTGTGTCAAGAAAATATATAATTGAGGCGCTGAACACACAAAATGACCCCATTGGCCACTTGCAATGGGCGTGAAATTTTCACCGCTCAGGTATGTCATTTCAGGCGTTCAAACCTGCTCCACACCTCAACTGGTTACCCACCAGCTGTGCAAAGACGAGACATAATCGAGCCGCTGAACATGCGTGCATAACTTGTGCCAAATGACCCGATTAGCGCCTTGCGATGCACATGAAACTTTACACCGCTTGGGTGTGTGCCCCCTCACAAGAGAAAAAGGGATGCAGGGCCTCAAAAGTGCAGCGTGTCATAACGTGGAAGGCAAAAAGTAGGAGCGTCGCAAGTGTGCCACTTGTCCTACCGGCCTGTATGAGGGATTCGCATGTGTATTCCACGAACTATAAACCCATGTGCAATGAGAGAAAGGGTGTGAAGTTGTGAACACACACCCTCCCATGCATGCGCAAGATAGACACGGAAGAGAGCGACTGTTTTTTCTTCCACTCCTTTTTCTGTGCACATTTTTGTGCCCGTATGATTCTTAACCTCTTCATCCTGTACTTGTCGCCTTTTACATTATTACTTTTTTAACTGGCAGAATCAACCAGGTAGCGGCACGCTAAAATTCTGTCTGATTCCAACTCAGACAGATGTCCGGAAGGACTACTTGTTGCCTTTTAAATCACCCATGTCAGCCTTTATGAGAGAGATTTGAACGCGTTGTTTGTGTGTGTGTGCAACGATATATCATCGCATGTTCTTTCCCCTCTTCATTCTACTCACGTTTCCGTTCCTTTTTCTCTTCACCCACTTCATCCGGTCTACACATACTTGTTGCCTTGTAAATCACCTGTACCCTGCCCACACCCCCCAGTTAACACAGGGCCACAAATAGTTTCGGCCTACCAGAGTGGAAAGCCTGGCAGCACCCGATAGACCCTCGCCATCCACAGATGAGATATATCGATGGGCTAGCAAGACCTAAAATTGAGCGATAGAAAGGCTCATAGCTACTTTTCGGACGCTTCTAGTATTTATGGACACCATCACAAATTAACAAATTGGACCAAATATGGATATCCCTACATTATCATTCATATGGCCTCCTAATGCCTTCACAGTTCCAAACAACCCGGAATTCAATCTTTCAATGTTTTTCCCTTTTTTTGTTTTTAAAGCCCAGGTTGTCGTAAAGGCCACCGAGTATTGACCCTTCAATTACCGGGCCTCGAAACACCCTGGGAGAGTTCCCTAACTTCCACCGGTACTTTCGACCCTTCCCTTTTTTTCCCACTTTTAAAAACAAAAAAGCCCAGGTTGTCGTAGAGGCCGAGTATAGACCCTTCCCTTACCGGGCCTGGAAACACCCTGCAAACCAAAAAAAAGAACAGGCACAGGGCTTTTCTTTCTACGGGCGCCACAAGCCACATTGCTCCTGTAGGCCGACCACGGAAACGTGCTGCACAAGCACGGCCGCATCGCTGGGAAACATACTGGTCGTTTAAGACCTTGCACGGCATCCCCGATTACTGCATTGCCTTTGGAGAGAGAATTGGACATATCTCACAAGCAATCATTAATGGCTTTTTCTTTGTCCACACATGCTTGGTCTGTTGACACCGAGCACATTTTTGTGCATTTTTATACCTCTGAAAAATAATCCCTCCCTCCCGCCAGCACCCATCATTATTCCGTACTAAAATCATTTATTCCACAAAATCATTACTACACAAAGTTTGGCCTATGACTGGGACACGAGACACAAAATCTCTAGAACTGAATAGACAAAGGGATATATGTAGAGACCCTCCACATTTCCCAGCGACCCTGGACTGTAGTCTAAAAATAATCCCTTGCTGTTCAAAAGATGGCCATTGGCCCCTCAACTACAGACGTCTTGCACTGACTGTCAGCAAATTGCTCCTCCCCGGAGATCGAGACCAATGGAGGCCCCCGTCAGAACCCTAAAAGACTCCCAAACACAACGATCCACTCAAAATATAGTAATGACGAGGGTTCATTATGTGGAAGTGAAGACAGTCGTACACCGCTCTAAAAATACACCTGCACCCTCCTACCACACCCAGGCAAATAAGGATTCATTCAACTGGTCATCCGATGCATCCATCCCTTATCTGAAATTGGCCACTCCCTGCTCATGCCCTATTTTTCACAGTCTCTGTTAAATTAGGCATACATAGGGACGCTGGATCCGGTTTGCTGCAAAAAAGAAAGAAAAAAACAGAAAAAAGAAAAGGCGTACATCCTGCCCTTAGGGACATCTGTTCAAATTGGAATGATACAGAGAAGATTAGCATGGGCCCCTGCGCAAGGATGACATGCATAAATCAAGATATGGTCCAATTTGTTCTTCTTTTTAAAGAAGAAACAGAAAAGGCGAACATCCCCTCCAAGGTCCAAATCGGAAAGCTCGGTTGGTTGATCTCCAGTGGCTTATGCGCCCCTGTGGTTGAGGTTGAAGCCTTGAAGGTCCAAATCCTCGGAACTTCAATGCGGTGCATATGCATTGGCACGTGCTATATCCACAACTTAGGGCCATTCACACACTACCCCGCCTTAAAATCAGCTAGGACTGTGGTCGGCATGAGTTAGCGGCTATTGGTAGTAGGAGATTGCTTGAGCCTGGCATCCGAAGTTCCCCTGCGACAAGGCTCGCTCGACCGACTCCACTTCCGCCGGCGCTGGGTCATGGCTAGCCCTGGTGCCTGTCACTACTGTTCGGTCCAAATTCCCCTCGATCCTAGTACGGTAATGGTCCTGAGTGCTGGTCACACTGAGGTAGGATAGTAGAGATAGGGGGTGCGCTAGGAGTCTTTACCTAAGGATGAGATGTGAGGTAGCCTCGTTCCCTCAGGACAACCATGGCTGGCCGCTGCAGGCGATCAATCTGTGCCTAGTAACTGGACTCTACAACCTGGGGCTTTAAAAAAAAAAAGAAAGGAACCAAAAAAGAAAAGAGGGCCATTCACACAATCCCCTTGGCGCAAGCATAGTGAGGACTAGACATGGCACCGGACTAAGGCAAAAGGTTCTCCCTTCCTCCCAACATCCTGCTCGGTCAATCCCCTGGACCCCAGAGTAATCAATGCCGGCAGGAACTCCTCACTACTATGTTCCAGATAATTTCAAATTTTCAGTCAGTGTAAGGGACCCTGGACCCGTTTTCCAGCAGGTGCTGCTCCCCACCAATAGATGGAGCCTATGACAAAAAAAGGAAAAAGAAAAAAAACGAAAAAGAGGACTAGACACGGCCTGTTTCAGCCAAGGGGGTCAAGGTTACCACAGGGCTGGGCCAGCAGCAGGGGAGCCCACAAACTGCCACTGGGTTGTCTATTGGGGATTTTCCATGGGTCCCTATGGGGGGGATTTGCCACTTCAGGATAGATACGGTTGGGGAAGGGGGGTGTGAACTTGTAGGTGGTTGGCATCGGTCTGGGTGCAGATTCTACTGGGGAGTCGGGTGATAACACGGCCTGGTTAGGACCATCGTAGGCCCTGTGCCCCTGGCAACACACAGAGAGAGTTGTGCCTGCACTGTTAGGAGTAGGTATATGGGGCTGCACTGAGGTAGGGGCACCGATTTGGGTACAGGTGCCCCTCCATGGGCACGAATGCACCTTGGAGCTCACAGGATGCAGGTGGAGGGCATGCGGTGGGGAGCAGGAATGGACAGAAGCATCAGTAGGGACCGTCGGAAGGACCTTGGTGTACCTAGCACTTTCATATAGAGAGAGAGCTTGATATAGTATCCTCGACTGGAAGTAGGACCATGCGCAAATAGTAACAAGGGAAATATTTTTTTTTTCAAAAAACAAAAAGACAACAAAGAAACCTCCGTCATAACCTACCTTGTCAACAACAGCTCATATACTTATTCACATGTTCTCGCCTCCTCCCGCACCCAATCTTCTAGTGTTCCCTATCACCACCTTCCATTCTAGTGTTCCCTATCACCACCCTCCCTCGAAAAATCTTCCTGCTTTTCATGTACATGTTTTTTTTTCGATAAACATGAAGTGTGGCCGCTACCATGATGGTACCCCACCAGATCTATACCCTTAGTTTCTCGACCGTTCGATGTGTGTATCACTTGGCACCCAGGCAGTACTAGTTTTCCATGCTTCCCCTGATGCAACGGGGAAACAGACACACACATAG